AGCACTGGAGGCAAAAATTTCAATTCTGACTTTACCACTGAGTAGTTGTGACTTTTGACTTAATCTCTCTGAGACATACTTTCCCTGCCTATACAATTGGAATAATAGGTGTAATAATACCGACCTTATGGAGATATTTTGAGGGCTACATAGATAATATCTGTAAACACCTAACATAATATTTAACAATAGGAATTGACCTCTACAAATTATGCTTAGGGGACCAAAATTTAAGATCATCCTGGTGGGAGGGGTCCGCCAGCCCCCACTCCCCATGGTGGGGGCTGAGTGCCACTCTTAGCCTCTAAAAAAAAAAAGATCATCCTTCCTTAATATCTCGCCCTGGCCCCTTGCTTAATATCTCAGAATATTAATCTTAGTATTAAACTTAAATATTAATATTCTGAGAATAGTCACATGCTCTTTCTTAAATGTAAATCCAGTCATATCCCCACACTGAAGAAGGCCCTATATATGTGGCGTCTGTCTGCCTTTTAATCTTACCCTCCTGGGCTTAATCTTACCCCCTTGCTCATGAACCTCCGGTTGTTCTGGATTCCTTTCCTTATGAGTGCCTTGTGTATAACGCTGATCTTGGAGTCAGTACCACAGGGTTACCTTTTAATTGAGACTATCTTAAAATTGGTCCTTTCCTTTTTTCATTTTATTTTAAACTTTTTATGATAGAAAATTTTAAACATATACAAAAGCAGGTAGATTAGTATAATAAACCACCATTTACCATAGAAACCACACTTTAACAATTATCAATTTATGACCAATCTTGTTTTGTCTATACCCTTATCCACATCCCCCATTATTGTGAAGCAAATTCCAGATATCATTTCATTTGTAAATATTTCAGGATCTCTAAAAGATAAGCTTTCCCCACCCTACCCCCATCATAACATATAAACTGAAAAGGGTTCTTTAAACCCTAATGGCTAACCCCTGGCTAAACAGCATCTAGTATCAAAATTTTAAATACTATAAATATCTGATGACTCCAATATCTTTATCCCTGACCTCTCCCTCATGAGTCACATGAATTTTCCATTCAATATCTCCACTTCAAATAAACATTTCAAATGAAACATGGCCAAAACAGAACTCTTAATTTTTCCCTACAAATCCGTTCCATCCCAAGTCTTCCGTTCTTGGTAAATAGCCCTCCATCCATGCCATTACTCAAGCTAGAAAACTGAGAGTCATCCTTGATTTTCTTTCCCTCACCCTGTACATCCAAAATATCAAGCTCTGTTTATTCAGCCTCCAAAATATATCCCAAATATTATCTACTTCTCTCCATCTCTGCTTCACCAACCTGGTCCAAACTACCATCATCTCTCATCTATTTACTAAAGTAGTTTCCTAATTGGTCTCTCTGCCTAATCTCTTGCCCCTTGTAATCTAGTCTTTTTAGAACAGCCAAGTACTCTTTATATTTTTAAAATGTAAATCCCATGGTTTGACCTCTGTGAAGGAAGTCCCTACACAATATGACCTCTGCCTACCTGTTTAACCTGTCTCCTACTACTCACCCCCCTGCTCACCCCTCTACTCAAACAAGCCGAACACAGTCCTGCGTTAGGCCCTTTTTATCAGCTACTCTGTTTGGAAGGCTTCCTTCAGATCTTTGCTTGGCTGGTTCCTTGTCATTCAGCTCTCAGTTTAAATGTCACCTCCTCAGAAAATTCTTCACTGACCCCCCAGTCTAAAGACACACCCTGTCACTCTCCATCACATCATTGTTTATTTTGGATTTATCCATGTTTATAACTTTTACTATTCCTTCTCCATTTTACTCCTGCCTTCTGGGTTCAATTTCCTTCTTCCTAATATATATCCTTTTAGTAGTCTTTTCAGTAAACTGTGGTGGTAAACTCTTGGTATTGACTAAAATTGTATTTATTCGCATGTTTCATTTTCAAACATAAGTTCTATGTCCAGATTATGTCCCTGAATGTAAGAATACCACCAAATACAAATTGCCCAGTTTAGGCACTTAGTCCCGCCCTTGTGTAAATAATTTTTTCGTAATTGGTAAGCAAGATCTATTGCCAATCACATTCATGTCCTTAAAATTTTAGTTCAGCTGCATGTAGCAGCATGTGCCTGTAGTCCCAGCTACTCAGGAGGCTGAGGCAGGAGGATTGCTTGAGCCCAGGACTTTGACTGAGTCCAGCCCAGGCAACATAGCAAGACTCCATCTCTAAAAAAATAAATTAAAAAAATTTTAGTTCAAAAATTTCTTTTTCTAATGAGAAAAATCTAATCTAGTGATTAAGAAAATAACTATAACACTGCAGCCAAAGTTAAGGATGTCATTTGCTACCTGAATGGCCTCTTGATCTTTAGCTAACCTTTCAAATGCCACCAACCCTGAACATCATGCTCCTAATTAAAGAAGATCCCCAATGTGTACTCTGGAATACTATGTAAGTCCAGTTTCTTCAGGACTCCCAGAACCATCTTAGGAATCCAACTGTGTCTAGCACAGCTGGGATTCTGTCCAAACCCCAGTCGACTTCTGGTTTCGACAGGCAGATCAGATTTGGCATACCTGTACTCCCTTAGATTGCTGTTCATCTGTATCAGCCTTTACCCTTCCAAGTCCTTTTTGATCTTCTCAGAGACCCATATAGTTAAACTATACTCCTCAACAATCCAGGAGTCAATCCTGGGAGCCCTCTAATCCACTCCAGGGTTCAAGGGTATAGATCAAGAGTTCGCAAACCATAGTCTGTGGTTCAAATCCAACGTGTTACCTGTTTTTGTAAATGAAGTAGTATTGGAAAATAGCCACTCTCATCTTTTACATGTTGTCTATGGCTGCTTTTGCACTACAACGATAGGGTTGAGTAGTAGAGACCATAGGGTCCGCAAAGCCTAAATAAAATATTTACCGTCTGGCCTTTTACAGAAAAAGTTTGCTGATCCCTGGACTAAGCTATAATATCAGATTTGTCTGTGGTTGGCAAGTGTGCTAGTAGCGTGTTAGCCATTCCAGCCAAACACCAAAAAGGTTTGGTACTCACTAAAGTAATCAGAGTCTGCACCTCTTAATATACACGTGTGTATGCACATATACTATGGAAAATTAAAATCTCAACACTTCTTAGACTATGGTAAAATGTCATGTCCTTCTCTATGGAAAATTCAGTTGGAAGCTTGAATTGTTTTAATACTTAGCTCCAATTGTATCTTAGTTTATATTTTCTCTCCTTTTTACTAAGAGAATCCTGTCAAAGTCATCTTTTCATGCTTAGGACCAAACTGGCCTCTGAAGATCAAATTCCTACTTCTCATAAAGAAAAAAATAATTGGAGACAGAGGCTGAAAATAGCTGCTTGCTTTCCTGATCACATATTCTTTTGCTCTGAAAACTCCTGGACTATCAGCATTTATAGAGATCACATCTACATTTGCTAACATATTGTTCCTAAAGTTTAGATGAGTTCATGAAGTCCTTACCATTGAATTTTTAAATAATCATGTTTTAGAGAAAACTGATAAATATCTTCATCCTAATCACAGAATAATGCAGAATGGTTGTGTTTATATGCACCATGATGGGGGTGGTCTTCAGATGGCTTTATGTTTCTTTTCCTTTTGGGAGATGATACAACTCCAGAGAAGTAAACTCACTTGCTTAGAGTCTCATAATGAAAATGTTCTAAAGTGAAGATTCAAACTGACAATTCCCCACTTGGGTTAGTTTTGTTTTCTTGTTCTTCTAATGAATCTGAAGTTAAATACCAGTACTTATAATGTAATTCTTACAATACTTTCATTCCCAATAGTCTGACTTTGTATTCTTCCTGTTTTATAAGAAATCGAGACACTGAGGTTCATTGACATTCCCAGAGCCACTCTGCAAGTAGATGGCAGAGCCAGACTCTGACTTCAGAGACGGTTAGTCCCCCTAAATTATTTCTGTTGCACTACTGGTGATGATTGTTGAGTCTTTTGGTGTCTGCCATGCCTTTAAAGTCAGACTGACCATAGGAAGGCATGCATGTAACCAGTAAGGGCTACAGTGACGTGTACTGATTCATTGACCTGTCAGGAGTGCTGAGTCTTAAAGTACTCAGCACTGGCGTAGCTATTCACTCTCTCAGAAGCACTTTATGTGAATGTCCTAATTAGTACATACTCCTATAAATGTCACTGCACCCATTTTACAGATGAATAATGGGGAACATGGACAGAGTAGCATTGGTGGCAGAGTTGAAATTAAATTTGAGTTTCTAATTTCTAGGCCTGTCTTCAGACCTCTAGGCCACAGTTTCAGTCAGTGATTATTTAACGTAACCGCAATAGAGTATTTGATTAAAGTTATCAGGTGATATTTAAAGGTTTAATTCCAGGATAGGCAGTTTATCCTCATATAGTACCTCTATAATGATGATTTGTTAATAGCAAAGAGAAAGGCTTGCCTAAAAGCAACGAAGTGATGATAGCTATGGCACACTGATCAGTCCCCTACCCCCACCTCTAATTTTCAGGGAGTGGAATAGCCTCAGCAATCAGCCCATGGGCCTTTCTGCGCTGCTGGCACATGACTGAAGCTCCACTCTGCATCTGGGAAGATGTCCTGTTCCTCTGACTTCCCAGTAGGGAGAGAATTCCCTAGCCCCACTTGCTTTCTACACCAGACCCTGTCCCAATCCCATACTCCGTGGTGCTATAGGCAGAAATTCTGTGAGAGTAGCGTGGATCCAGATCTTGGTGACATTTTCTAGTGCCTTGCTGCCCACATGCCCCCTGCTTTTATTTAACACCTGCTTACTGAGTGTTTGCTGTAATCCTCAGTCCCCTGCCATGGGTGTCCTGAGAAGGAAGTGTCCTTATGGGTAGTAAGACATCATGGGTAATAGAGGATTCGAATAGTCTTTGAAGACTTGGCTGAGTTGGGAATAAATGGGCTTATCTGGAGCTGAAGGACTGTGTCTCAGAAAATTTGGAATAAGGATGGAAACATACATTGTAGCCTCATCATGAAGGGCCGTATAGACCTGCAGGTAGAATCTGGATGGCCACAAGGATCTACGGATGATGTGGAACAGAGGAAGGGTGGAACAAAAGTGGCATTTCCGGAAGCGTCCCCTGAAAGGGTGGGTGGAAAGTGCAGGTACTGTGGTTCCTCTTCTTGTAGCAGCTTCTTCGGTCTCCAGGGCCTGCCTCTGTCGTGTTGATGAGTAGCCAAGATGAGACATCGCTGCACGTGGGAGACCTGACTCACACTGCTGTCATGGACACCATTTCGTACTTTCAGAGTGGCCTTCAACCAGCCAGGTTTCTAACAAAAATCATAAATTTCACACTAGGCAAATCCTCATTTTCTACCATTCTGGGGATATGCAGAATTGTATTCTAAGAGTAAACCTCAGAAGGTTAGGAATAGTCCCAAGTGTTAGCCCCCCTTCCACCTTTTTAATAGTCCATTATGAATTTCTCATCTGTGGCTATTCAAATTATTTTATTTTCTCTCTTCTGCTTATGTCACTTATGAGGAATCATGCCCCTTTACTTAAAATTTTCCTACTCACTTTTTGCACCTTGCTGCTATACTTATTGCCCTATTCTTTCTGGAAGAGAAAGGCAGCGAAACATAGTTTCTCAAAGTGTGGTCCTGGGACCAACTGCATCAGAATCGCCTAGAGTGTGTAAATGCAGATTCCTGGACCGTACCCCAAAGCTGTTAAATCAATCCCTAGAGGTGGGAGCTGAGAATCTGCATCTTTAACAAGCTTCCCAGGAAATTCTTGGGTATATTAAAGTTTGATAGCCATTGGCATAATATTTTAGAACATAGACTTTGAAATTGCCCAGACCTGGGTTAGAATCCTGCCTTTGCCACTTAATAGCTATATCATCTTGGACAAGTTACTTGAGTTCTGCTTACCAGTTTTTTCATCTGTAAACTGAGAGACAGAATAAGGTAGCTGTTGAGAGGACAGACTCAGAGCTAGACTCCAGGGTTTGAGTCTCAGCTCCACCAGTTACTAGCTGTGTTATCTGAGGCAAGTAACCTTTCTGAGCTATAATTTCTTCATTTGTAAAACACAAATAATAACCTGCCTACTAGGTTGTTGTGAGACTTTTATGAGTTTGTATAAATAAGACGTTTAGAAAGAGGGAGGAGATTTCCCCCCAGGGCACATTTGACAGTGTCTGGAGATATTTTTGGTTGTTACAACCGGGAAGGAGGCGGTTGTTCCAATACCTAGTGGGTAGAGGGAAGAAATGCTGGTATTATCCTGCTATGTGGACAGCCCTCCACAACAAAGAATTATCTGGCAAAAATCTCAGTAGTGCCTCTTTTGAGAAACATAGCTTAGAACTGGCACATATAAGCATGATGTAAGTTTTGGCTACTATTATTATTTGCTATCATGGAAATAATAAACCTTACTTGGAGTGTTATTGTTAGAAAATAAATATCTAAGGATGGGGCTTAGCACTCAGTAAATGTAGAGGTAGTGGTGGTGGTGATTATTGTTAGGAAGCCAAATATCTGTAAACACAGTCATTCTATACTAGTGAGCTCCTATTTAAAGAAATTTTTTTTTGTGATGTAAATAATGACTTTTTTGGTTTATTCGTTCAGGACTTTTAAAAAGTAGAACACATCTGTAATCATTAGTACCCCAAATTTCAATAATAGCTATATACTTTTCAAAGTACTTTTACTTCTTCATCTTCCTCATCAGCATTTATTGTTGAGTCTCTATAATATGCCAGGCTTGCCTGACGGTCCGAGTGTGGTGGAGAGAACCTGGACACTAGAGTTAGACAGCACTGGTTCTGATCCCAACTCTACCCATGTCATTTTAGGCAATTGACTTAATTTCTTTCCATCTCAGTTTCCTCATTTATAAAATGAGAGTAATTGCATCTACCTCCTGAAGTGTTTTTGTCAATTAAGTGGAAAAGTGCCCAGCTTGTGCAGTGTTGAGCAGGAGTATGTTCTGAATACTTCTAGGGCCCATTCCCGCCCTGCGTCCATGTCAGCGAGCCTGCACCGTTTTTGGAGAGCTAAGTGTACACAGTCATGTCTCAGCATCTCCCTGCTCTGACTCACCGGGCAGAGGGAGGTAAGAGGACGGTGGAGAAAGGTGAACTGCCTTGCTTCTCCAGTGCTTCTGGGCATGCAGAAAAAGTGCAGGACCCCAGAGAGGCCATTTTATATTTTGGGGGGAATAGTCCCCTCGAGGAGGGCTACGGGTATTTTCTTCTAATATCTTGCCTTTTCAGGACACGTACATCAGTCTCTCACCCCATTCTTTAGAAGTGAACCAAGACCCAAATGGTGTTGCTGAGGAGCTGCTTCTGATTCTGTGTTATTGAGAATGGCAACCATATTTTCTTGTTCTTTCCAAAATTAATTTATCTTTTCTATTAATTTGCACAGATACTATTCTGACTTTGTATTTCATAGGATTTTCAAACTGTAATTTTCTTAGTGTTATGAAGGTGACGGTGATTTACAGAGGCCTGTGTTTTTATCTGCTTTGCTGTCTTGCAATCTGGTGCCTTGAAGACGCTTTTAATTTGCCATTCATGTCTGTTTAAAAAGAGAAACTGTGCAATGTCAGAAAATTAGATTCTATTCAAGACCTTGCACGTGGCTGCCAGTCTTCTCCATCCCAGGACCTGGCCACTCCATTCACACCAGTAAGAGGTACCTTTGTTTGACCAGACTCTGTTAGACATATTAGTAGGAACTCATCAGATCTCAGTTAAAGGTTAATCTCAGTCCAGGATAAGAAGGTTGACGTTTTCAGTTAGACTACAGAAGGCTTAGTGGAAAATTGGAGACACTAGATAGTGATCAGTGGACATAACACTTTTCCACCTGAGAATGTCAATGATTGGAAAGTGTAGCAAAATCAAGTTGATGACCTGGAAACTAAGATAGGATTAAGAAATGTCACATTGGTAGGGGGTCGTAGAGGTAGAGAGACAAAAAGAAACAGTCTTTTATTTTTTCCCCCTTCCAATATCTTGCGAAGGTGTGGGATTTGATAATTTTGAACTCTCCTTATGTGCTGACATAGATTGCATTTCTGCAAAGGTCCGTCACCCCAAGCAATCCCAGAAATATGCAGGTCTGGAAAACAGTACCAAAATCACGAAATTTTGTTTCTAATGTGCCTTGGTCTGATTTTTAGGGGTAAAAGGAGATTTTAAAAATCACACGTTTGTTTATTGGCTGTCTTGGGCAGCTAGTGACAGATGTGCCTGCCGAAGAGAGTTGGCAGATCAGAATACCATTTGCCCCAAGTGGCGGGTGGTCTCTACAGAAGTCTGATTTCATGTACTATCCCGTCTGAAGCTGAATGAACGTGAAGATAGAGTTGAACTGAAATTGTGGAAATACTTGGATACATAAAGGCCTTTAATCTGTTTCAATGTGGAATTTGATTTACCTTTTTAAAAAATACATTCCCACATTTTACAGAATTTTTATAAAAATCTGTCTTGAACAAATTTTCCAGGAAAAAATAAAAAAGATTATTTCATTTGATGGTGTAATGATTAATCCTACCACCTGGGTAAGCCAAGTGAGCTTCCCATAGGAGATTGCTTCTGCAGCTTTGAATTATGTATGAATATTGCAGACTGTTGAGATATAATCTTCCAAGGGATTCATTTACATAACAGACAAATCTGTAACAATGTTACTATTTCCTCTGAACACTTTACATTCATTCTCCATGTTGAGAAAATGAGTTGTCTTTGTGGAGGTTATGGCATGGTTTCTTAAATGTCAGGTCAGACCATAAATCTGACCAAATCTCAGTTAAAAACTGGCCATTAATGAAAAGTTGGTTGACAAGTTTAAAGCACAAATGTGTGTTGTCCTTCGATTATGAAAGCAGAAAGAATGCTGAGGGTTGAGGACAAAGAGTAGGCTAACTTAGGGTCTGACCCAACCTGAAGATGAGGAACCTAGATATCAACACCATAGTTATTATAGACTTTCCACATTACAAGTCTAGGGATTGTTTCAACATGAATTTAAATAGGAGAAATACAAAAGCTATAACTTCCTCTTTGGCGTAGGCCATCTATCACTTCATAGTTCTATTTTATAGTAATGAATATCAAATTCATTGAATAACCTGAAAAAAAAAATGTCTAAAAACCCTGGTCATTGTTTGTGATTTCAAGACGTGCTGACATATAGCGTATAAGAAATTCTCACGTATTTCTTTTAATTTTCATTTTAAATAATTTCTTACCATCTGTCTCATGGGTGAAATGGAGGAAATTTAAATCTTCATTTTCTCCATTAACTTCCTCCTGATGCTGTCATCATGTTCCTTCAGAAGATCAAAGTAGTATAGGGAAACAGAACCCAGGTTCCGATTCCCATTTTAGTGTTTTCTCCATTACATGAAACATTTCCCAGTGAAATGGTGGTGAAACTCTTTGTTAGGAGATAAAGCCTGTATTTGTAAAATGTCATTTTAATATTTGAGAGGGTTTTCTGATTTTATGTCTAAATATGAAATAAGTCAATACTCAAAAATTAAATTCCCTTACTAAATTAATATGCCTAATGGTAAATGAATCATAAGCTTTTCCTTTCTTCTTTCTTCCTGAATGATTTGCCTGTGTTGTTTATACATAGTGACCGAGTCAGCCTTCTCTGATGCTTTTCTCAATTCTTTATTCTTTAGTCCTAGCATGTTACCATATCTAAGCGTGAACTCTCAGAACCTCTCTCTTTTCCCCTCTTTTACCATTTTAGTCATACAAAGAGCTGTTCTTCTCTGAAGCATTAAAACATGATATATCATTAATGCATTTTTAAAATTCTTAGTCCTTTTAGAGACTGCTGTCACTATAAATGCAGATTAAATATTTTAGTATCCATTTGCAAACACATGTGATTTTACTTTTATCAACTGTATTTGCATAGTTCTTTATAGTTGACAATTATTGTAATTGGTGATTTAATGTACCAGTGTACTTATTTAAAATGTACTTATGCAAACGGATCTCAATCTGGAATATAGGCTGTGCTGCCTTAGTCCTCAAGGAGTTAATAAAACTAGCTTTCACTTTGCTTAGCTCCCCAAAGGTAATCTGGCACATTTCCCAGACCAAACCCCTAAGGTAAAGGTCAAGATGCAGTGGGTGATATTAAGGTGCATAATTCAAGCCTCTTCTCATGGTTTGCCCAACTTGTAGCTCTCCAGAACTCATCTGTGGTTTGTCAGAGTTTCAGAACATAATTAACAGACTCAAGAAGGCCCTGTGAAAATTTCCTTTAATGGGGAATTGTGTTAGTGAGTACAGTGGGTGAGTCTTTAATATTTCTTGCTTTTTAGCATCCATGTTTTTTTGCAAAGCCCTTCGGAGTACAGAGCTGTGTTACATGTATGTACGTGGAACAGGCCCATAGAATTCCCCATAGGTTAATAACAGCAGCTCTTTCTGTGGTTTGCATAGTAGCTGAGTTTTGTTGTAATTAGTCCATTGCCGGGGAGGAAAACAGACAAGTGAGGGTGAAATCATGACTTCTGAACCCTTTACCACCCTTTTGGACAAATAGGAAGGAGGGCTTTATTTTAGTAATAGCCAGGAGATCGGGGAAAGAAAGGAAAAGGCAAGAGTAGGGTTGCAGGAATTTGGAGCCCAGAAACAGCTTTTTAGAACATCTCTAAAGCTGACTTTAGAATAAGAAATGTCTGGAGCATTAACATTTTTTTCTCTCAAGAAGGGGATGATATTTAAAATCACTTTATATTTATTGCTTTGAAATTAGAAATGGTTTATATTAACTTTTTCCCAGAAAAGAACATTTTCTCTCTCCTAAATCTTGTTGATAGCTACTCAGTGATAATACAATCTGTAACGGACATTAAGTGGTACTGAAAGTGTCTTGGAAGTGTCAGTTTGCTTTGTCTTTGCTAATGCATGGAGGTAGAGCCCTCTTGCTACCTTGATTTTATGATGCTGCATGTTCTGAGAAACCAGCTTTGTATGGAGTCCCTCTTTTAAGTTGATGACCAAGGGCAGCCCATAGAGAAGAGCAGTGTACTTTACTGTATGAGGCCTCCTTTACATAGACTACCCTCTTGACTGACAGGGTGGTGCCTTCCCACCTCACCACTGTCCCCAAGAGCCAGATCCCCTAACAGAACTTCCAGTTCATTGCTCACTCCCAGTAGAGAGAGACTTCTGGCTCTGACAGCTTTGAAAGAATATTTTTGAAGTTGTGTATCCAGCAGACATCAAGGCTTATTTTTCTGTCCAAGCACAGGCACAATTTCCATAATGAAAGATTGATAAGAAGGTACTCCTTCTTCTTTAGATCTGCTCTCTTAAGTCCACAGGTAATATATGTTCTGATGACACACGATCAAACAAAGTACCTCTTTTAAAGAAACTTGTAAATGTGACCATGACTCACTGCGAATTGGAAATCCAGAAGTAACATGTAATAGTATATGTTTCCTTTCCTTCTTTCTTTTTTTCATAATGAAACCAGGAAGAAGAACCGAAGAGTTGTGTGATAGTCTAGGAACACTTTTCCGTAGACCTAGAAATCTTTAAAGATGCCGGTTTTGAATTTATTTCATTAACCAGCCCACTGAGATTTTCTAACTAGGCCAGTTTTCTCCACCAGCATTAATAAGTTTTCCATCCCTTTGTGCTTTATGGCAACAGAGTGGCACAGTTCAAGTAGGTTGGGGAGTAGAGAAGATGGGCAGAGGTAGTTATAAGCAAATAAGCAGGCAACAGTAGAACAAGATTGATCGTACATTGGTATGTGGCCAGCAGGATGCTTCAGGCTCATTTTAACACAAGAGATTAACTAGAAAGTAGAACTTTCTTTTCCATTTGCCTTCCCTGCTGCATGCACACAGGCAAAGGTTGATGCTTCTGTTCTCCTGGCAACAGGACCTTCCAGGCCTCAGTTTACCTATTAAAATAGTTGTTTAACTTCCTTGTTTAGATAATCTAATCTCAACTTCATTTCTGATCCTTTACTGAATACTTTAGTGTGTACTGAATACTACATACTAAGTAAATACTATATAGTAAAGTATTTGGTATTTACTATAGTATTAGAGTGCTATAACATAGTATAGTAAATGTGCTAAATACTTTACTGAATACTTTAGTGTATACTGAATACTACATACTAAGTAAATACTATATAGTAAAGTATTTGGTATTTACTATAGTATTAGAGTACTATAACATAGTATAGTAAATGTGCTAAATACTAAATACTTTAGTGTATTTGTCTTTAATCAGGTAGGCATTCAGCTCCCTCTACCACCACCATCACTACCTAAAAAAATTGTTCCACTCCTTGCCTGTTATTTTTATGCTTCCTCTCAGCCTACCACACCTCCTTTACCAAATTGGATTCCCAATATGTATGAGTCAAGGTAAATAGAAGCATGAACCTAGAGGAAGTACTGCCTTGTGTTTAGACAAGTATGTTGGGGCTTATGACCCATTGCTGTGCCTAGAGGACCAGTTATTTACATTTATGGCAAGTGTATTCCTTCCATAAATCTAAATTTTAGCAGAACCTTTGAATGCCAGTGTGACAAGTGGTCTGATTTGTTTCAGTCACGTGACCCATGAAGTGACAGAGGATTTTTCTCCTCGGGATCCAAAAAGTGTTGTGAAGCAAGATGGCGGGGGCTGCCCTTCGGCCACACCAGCATTGCCCCTGCCCGAACTGGAAAGGGAAGAGGAAAAAGAAGACGACATTTCAGATCCTCTGGACCTAAACCCCTGTAGTGCAACATACAGCAACTTAGGTAAGTGCAAATGTCAAATAAATAGTATTTAAACTTGCCTTTTTATGTACTAGCCAAATGTCCTATTTTCCTGGAGAGATGGTTCTTATTGCTCCATGAAACAAAAGTTTAGCCATTGGAGTTATACATTTTTTTTTTTTGAGGCTGGGTCTTGCTCTGTTGCTGGGGCTACAGTACAGTGGCCTCATCATAGCTCACTACAGCCTCAAACTCCTAGGCTCACGTGAGCCTCCTGCCTCAGCCTCCAGAGTAGTTGGGACTACAGGCATGCATCACCACACCCAGCTAATTTTTAAATTTTTTTGTAGAGAATGTTGCTCAGGCTGGTCTCAGACTCCTGGGCGCAAGCGATCCTCCCACCTTGGCTTTCCAAAGTGCTAGAATTACAGGCATTGGCCACTGTGCCCAGCCTGGAGTTATAAATTTTAACTCACTAAGAAAAAAGTTCTGGTATTTACTAGGCATGTATTAAACACCTGCTACCATGAGCCCTTGCCATGTCCTAAGGGTGCTGACATTGTCCCTTGAAGGACTTACCTGGGGGCGAAAAGATGAACTCGTTAATGATTTCAGTGTAATATGATAAATGCAGTGATAGAAAAATACATGGAGTATTTTTGATATTACACAGGGGAGGGTGTCAAAAGATGCATTCCTGGAGATAATTCCTGAACTGATTTATCTGGTTGACAGAGGGAAGAAAGACTATTCATATCAGAGGCAACAACATGAGCAAAACTGTGGCGATGCAAAAGCTTGGTACATGTGGGTACCATAAGCCTTTAGCATTGCCAGACTGTGAAGTGGAGAGTTAGCCAGTATCATGTATTTCAGGCTAAAACCTTGGACTTTTGGCTATTTGTGATAGTGAACCATCAAACGGTTTTAAGCAGAGGAATAATATGATCAGATTTGTGTTTTAGACCATCCACTCCACAGGCTGCCATGTGAGGATGGATTATTTGATGGCAGGAAATCTGGTAGCTGGAATACCATTGCAGGACCACATGAAGGATGAGAAGGGGGCCTCAACTAAGATAGTGGAAGCGGGGAGAGTGGACAGATTCGATAGATATTTAAGAGGTAAAATACACAAGGTTGGATCATGTGAAGAATTATAACGTATCCCAGATTTCTGACTTGGATGAAACAGACTTGAGGAAGTACGATCCCTGTCTTCGAAGGTATTTAGGCGGAGTTGACAGGCCAGATCTCAGAGACGCTGTGAAGGAGAGTGCTGCGCTGCAGTGCGAGTTGAGCTAAATTCCCTGCCAGTGCAAGATTCTTCGATTCTCTTATCTTCACTCTTCTTTCTTGACCGCTCAGTGACTTTTGATCTGTCTTGCTCCCTGGAGTGTCACAGGGTTTCCTTCCTTCTGAAAAGCAAAGCCTGGGGCAGGATAAGGATTTCTCAGTGCTCTTCTCCCATGAAGTCAGGAGAGGAGGGGTGAGTAGCATGGACTACTACACGCAGAGCACGAGCAAGAGTCTTACGAACTGCTGACCAATTCTTAGACCCTGTTTGGAAACCAGTGGCGTCCGTCACTGAAGCATTGTTCTACCTAGTACCTCAACTCCTTTCTTCTTTGTCTTTTTCCTCCATCAGGTTATTGTAAGGAAAAATCATGCTAAGATCAGTTAGTGTACAAGGGAATAAAAGGCGTCCTTAAGGAGGCCAAAAGGTTGCGTTAACACTGTAGGAGAAATACTTTAGTATCTCCTTTCAGAAAACTCAATCATTAACAACCCACATGCAGTTGAAAATATATTCTGTAAGGAAAAAGACTTCCGTTTAAAGTTCCAGAAGCCTTATATGATTTGGGAGTAGGGGAAGCATGCTACACTTTACCCAAGCAACTATCCTGGATACCATTTTCCAGTTGGAATAGTTTTCATAGTCAAATAGTTTATTGGACTTTTTCCATTCTTTTATATTTTATGAGGCATATTAGAAGATGAAAAATTTAGTTTACTTACTATATTCCTTAAGATAGCATAATATATCAGGAATTACAATCTAGACATTCTTACTACACCAAAATTTCTTTCATTATGTCCTCAGTAAAATATATAATAATTTTTACTAATTGTATAGTATCTGATGGCATCTCTGCTTTAAAAATCCCATTAGCCAACATTAGAGTTAATTCTTTTATCTCATTGTCTTCTCTGTTACAAAGATTGGTAGGAAAAATAAAGCATTGCCTCCTGCATGAATATCCTAAGTGCTTTACATATGTTATTAATAGCTCATTTGATCCTCACAACCACCTTAGGAATTATTAGCCCCATTTTTATGGAAATAAAAATTTCCATAAAGGAAATGAGAAAACTGAGGCAGAGTGCCTTGCCCAAAGTTACAGAGCCAGTAAGAGTTGAACCAAGATTGGAACCCAGGTGGTCTTAGCCACTACACTCTAATGCTCTTAATCACTAAATTGTTATAAAATACTGAAAGGCTGCTACTGTCTCCCTTCTTTTTTAAGTCATCTACTTTCAGACACAAAATTTAAGACTTTTAAAAAAATTATGGTTACTTAGTGTGTAAAAATGCCAGTATGGACGCCCTATCAGAAAGATAGCTTTTTTCCTACCTATTGCTCTACATTCAAAAGTATGTGATGCCCATAAAATGCTAGCCGCTTTTCCTTAAGTGCTTAAGTAATCACGTGCTTGACTCTGTAGGATATGATACATGGTTAATTGTTTTTTTTTGGAAAGGTAATAGATAGGGTTGACTCCATGAGTTCTAAGCTGAGGGTTTTTTGTTTTGTTTTAATTTTGCAGTTTTTTTGTTGTTGTTGTTTTTCCTAATGGAACAAGTATTTTCAGTGGCATTTGGAGTTTTTCCTTTTCTAATACTTTCAACAAATCATTTGCATGCAGTTTTAAACTACAGTTTGAGTAATTTTTTATGATTTAAAGCCTCGGTAACTTTAAAAAAAATGATGTTTAAAAAGTGAAAAGCAAGGCCAGGCACAGTGGCTCACACCTGTAATCCTAGCACTCTGGGAGGCCGAGGCGGGCGGATTGTTTGAGCT